CTGTCACCCCTACAAATAGCTCCCTGATAGGTGGCTCTGGGACTGAAAGCGCCCTCGTCAAAGTTTTACCGGATCGCTGCAACTTCGCAATCTGATCAGGAGTACCAGAGCATTTGAGGCAGGGTCAGATTAAGAGCCCAGTGGGCCTGGTGCTGACAATTATGATGGGGCCTAATTACAGAATCTTATTGACCAAAAACATTAAAACAGTCATACCTCTCAAGAGTCATGTATATGATGGAGTTGGTGTTGGAGGGAAACTCAAAGGATGCAACTATAATAAAACACATACTCTATGCTAATCTCTTTATCTAATTTATGCTTTCATCTTTCAAGTAAATCCATACCCCCTAACAGCAGTGTCCAGTGAAGCAAGAAGTCAATGGGCGGGGTAAAAGGGTGGGCCACTGACGCAAATCACGTGACCAGAACTGCCAAAAGGGGCGAACATGCCCAAAAAGAGTGCATGTCTGTCCAAAGAATTGGAAGGCCAGCTTGGCATCAGGGACCCTATGTATCACAGTGTCAGTGTCCCCATATCACCCAGTCCCCTAGTCTCCCAGTGTCTGTGTCCCCATTTCTCCCAGTGTCCCCATGCCTCAGTGTGTCCCGTGTCACTAGGTTAGTAGGGGACACTGAGAGACATGGGGACACTGAGACACTTGGGGACACTGGGAGACATGGGGGTACTGAGACACTTGGGGACACTGGGAGACATAGGGGCACTTGTGGATACAGACATGGGGATACTTGGAGACATGGAGACACTAGGAGACATGGGGACACTGAGATATTTGGAGACAATGGGAGAAAAGGGGTCACAGACACTAGGGACACAGAGACATGGGGATGCAGACACTGTAAGACATGGGGACACAGACATTTGGGGAAACTAAGACACTAGGGACACTGAGAGACATGGGAAAACAGACACTGGGAGACTAGGGGACACTGGGAGACATGGGGACACAGACACTAGCTGGGAGTCATGGGGACACAGACACATGGGGACACTGAGACATGGGGACACTAGGAACACAGAGACATGGGGACACAGACACTGTGGGGACACATGGGGACACTGAGACACTAGGGACACTGGCTGGGAGACATAGGTACACTGGGAGAAATTGGGACACTGAGACACTGGCTGGGAGACATGGGGACACTGGGAGACATGGGGACACTGGGAGACATAAGGACATAGACACTGGGAGACTAGGGGACACTGGGTGACACTAGGAACACTGGCTGGAAGACATGGGGACACTGGGAGACATGGAGACACTGTGTCCCTAGTGTCCCAATGTGTCTCCCTATGTCTCACAGCATCCCCATGTGTCTCAGCGTCCCCATGTCTCACAGTGTCCCCTAGTGTCTCAGTGTCCCCATGTGTCTCAGTGTCCCCATGTCTCCCAATGTCCCCATGTGTCCCCTAGTGTCTCAGTGTCCCCATGTCTCCCTGCTGCCTTTCCCCCCATCCTTCACATACCTGAGCTGTATTCTGTCTCTGTAGGCTGGGAGCTGCTGTCTGGATTCTCTGTGCTGTGTAGCTGCTCCCCCATGGATCAGTGAGTAGAGAGATGTAGGGAAATGCTGTAATTTCCTATCCCTGCCTCTCTCCATACACAGTGACCCCTACTGGCAGGTGCTGGTAATGCAGAGTAATCTCTGTTTATACTGAGAAAATATTTGCATTTGTATTGTCGGTATTACTGCAATACCGTCACGGCCAGGCAGCTTCAAATACCGGCTGTGCCTTAAACTACCAGTCAGGTGGCAAACCTAAGAGTAGTGTGTAAAAAAAAAATGGATGCAGCTCCATCAGCGCCTATGTTAATCCGGCCTTGGTTTGAGGGTTGCACCTGGTCAGGTGCACTGTGCCTCCTGAACCACAAAAAAGGGGCGCTGGGCTGGGAGGCACAGGCGGGACTCGTAAATAGTAGTTATTACATTCTTTAAGGACGGAGGCGGCGGTTGGAAGACGTGTACCCGTTCTAGGTGACCAAGTTGTCTGTCACAGTTCTCAAGAAGATAATATAATTTTGCCTCTTTTTAAATCAATGGTAACACCACATGTTGAATATGCTGTTGTCATTAGTTTGGCTAATATAGCTTGGTTGCTTCATCTAAGTGCTGCTTCTAAGTGTGTGGTTGGAGATATTCTGGAGATAAGCTGGAGGTAATATGAGGTAAAATGTATTTGATTTAAACTATTCACCTCATTGAAATGGAAGACTTAGTTCAGTGTAATAGTTGTTATGCATTTGTTTCATGTTCCAATTTTTGGAGATTTGGATGCTGTCTAATCTGTAGACAGCTCTCTATATTGCGGCAGGAGATTGTATTTTTGAAATCTGAGATTTGTAAATTATCTGGTAAACAAACTGTTACAAACTGCCATTTGTAACTGTTATTTTATTTGACAAATTGCCCTGCTTCCCTGTGCTATGGAGAAGCCTAATTGCCAGCCTTCTGCCCCATGACTATGGACCTAGTGTGTATGGCGATTTGACTGTATTTGTGGGATCTGAGCGCTGTTTGGATATATTGAGCGCTCAGATCCAAGCCATCTGGGGATAGGTTGAATGTGGGGGTTCTGTTCAGTTCAATAGGAGTTATGTATTTTGTGTCTTTTTGTGTCTTTTGCTGACATGTGGTTAATGGAGTCTGCCTCTATCCCTGGATAATTGGATTACTTTCCCCATTGTCCAGGATAGAGGGCTCTGTAAATCCGGTTTGGGCCGGAAAACCATGCTGCCAGCTAGGCCCCAAAAGATACTTTTGCTAACTTGTGAACCCCTTGTCTGATTTGTGCCATTTTTTAATATGTTGCTCCCCTTGATGGATTGATTCCAAATATGTATTTTTATGAAGATTGGATGTATGGTTTTAAAGTTACAGGGTATGGATAAAAACTGTATTTTACTGCCTGTGTTTAATTATGTTAACCCATTGTGCAACATAATTAGATCACAGGCAGAGGGGAGGTGTTTTGTGTGTAATTGCTGGGAGTGTTTCTGTAATGTACATTTATTATTGGTTGTTTTATACCTCCCTGTGGGCGGTCCTGTATTTGCAAGACTGTAATAAAAACCAGGCTGGGTGTGCCAGCACCTCAGATCTTCTTGACCCTCTAACTTGCAGCCTTGACTCATGTTTGTAGGGGACAGCTATAATCACTACAGGGATTGCTATGCTCTTCATACTCCCTTAGCTACTGAGCTCTTGTAAGAGCTCTTGTTCCTGATCCTGCTTCGCTCTGCAGAAGGAAGAGGTTCACCTACTGCAACCTGGAGCCTGGTCGTGGGTCCAGGGCACAGAGCAGACGGCGAGATACCAGCCCAGCAGCGGTGGTTCGTGGAGTCTGCAGTACTTCTGGTGGCTACGCAGTAGTTATGGTGTCTACGGTGCTGATGGTCCTTTGGTGAGCGCTAGGAGCATCCTTTCTACGGTCCAACTTCCAGCCAGCCTGGAGGCAACCGTAACACAAACTCAGAATGGAACTGCTGCAAAGCCACTGCCACAGAGACGTACTAGGAATGGCAGATGGATTACTGTAGGATCTGGTAGACTTAGAGTTGTGGATAAAAGGCATATCGCACAGTCTGCTGCTCTACATAATTCATTTTCTGCACTTTAAGAGTGTAATGGTGTTATGGAGACATTCTCAGGCACCAGGTGTAGTGGAGTTATGGAGACAGGCACTCAGGGTAGTGTTGTTGTGGTGACAGGCTCGGGCACTGAGGGTAGTGGTGTTGTGGAGACAGGCTCAGGCACTGAGGGTAGTGGTGTTGAGGAGACAGGCTTGGAGACTATGGTGAGGCCTAATAGAAAGCAGTTGTTGTTGGGGGATTCCATCATAAGAGGTGTGGAGATGGACAATGGTGGTCTTGTGAGTCTTCCCGGAGCTCACAGAGACAGATGACGTATTTGTAATATTGTTAAGCGAGAAAAGCAGGAACAATTGCAATGAGGTTTCAGAGGTTAAGGAAGTTTTTAGTGTTTTTGCCAATGATATACGGCAGGTTGCTTCCACACTGTCATTCTCTGAAGTTCTGCCTGTGCATAACACTCAGAACGACAGACGGATGCGTATTAGGAACTTTAACCTGTGGCTTGGTGAATGGTGTCTGGAGCAAGGATTTGGCTTTATTTCTCATGGTAGCTCTGTTTGGAATGGAAATAAACTGTACAAAAAAGATGGTTTGCATATTTCTCAAAAGGGAACAAATGTTCTCAGTGAACAGTTCAGAGGTTTTGCTAGGGTGTATTTAAACTAGGAGGGGGGGGGGAAAGGTGATAAAACATCAATCCAATTGCCCCCCAAAACAAGGACAGAAGGTGCCTGTAGCAAATGTGTTAAAAAATTATAAGCTGGGGCGGGGCCTGACTGTCATGGAGGAGAGAGGTGTTTTGCAGGAGCTCCTCTCCTAGGCAAGCTTGAACCACAGTTCTCACCCACATTCAGCCTCAGAGGGAACTACTTTATAGAAGTATACAACTCCTGACCCTCATGGGACCCACTGTGGGGTTTAAAAATCTACAAAAGAGCTCATCTGATGCACTGCTCCTACCATGCGGCCTAGGGCACACCGGACGGAGGAGGCGGCCGATCCTCCTGCCTGGAGTTGTCTGATGGTACGCAACAGCACACGAGAACCCCGTTAACCCCCCCTTGGATCACCCCTGTGAGGCCTCGCAGACCTAGCGGGAGATAGAGACAAGGCCAAAGCGGCTACCACAACCTGCAGCAACACAGCCAACATGGCGGACACAGATCGGGCTCCCGACAAGGCGGAGGACAACCCTGATTTCCTGGCTAGGCTGGACAGGATTTTCGACAACTTCTGGCGCAAGCTGGAAAGTAAGCAGCACCAGCATGTCCGGAGCCTGCCAGGTGACTACTCGCAGCGCAAACCAACCCCGGTCACACAGCAGAAGGCCGCAGTTGCGAGGCCCTGCCGAGTTCTAACATGGCGGCGAGGCGGGAAACGCGCCGTGCAGAGAGGCGCATACACCCACCCAGGTAAACTACCAGAGGGTAAAAGCTCACCTCGGAGACACCCTCCAAAATCAGCAACGGCATCAGAGGGAGCAGTCTCCTCATGGGGGTGCAACCTACTTAATGACACCCACATACCCAGGAAACGCAGCAACATGCACCCACGGTGAAGGCTCAAACATGGCAGGCGCCCAAGCAGCAGAGCCCGACGAAACTATCCGCAAGACAGAGACAGGAACTGACTAAAGGCAAACCACAGCCCTGCACCAAACCTGACAAGCCATTGAGAGCCCTGTTCCAGACCACCGAAAAGCACAGCCTTTCACCTGGGACTCAAAACCCAACTCGCTCCAGTGCAAACAAGGACTACGCTTTGGTGAAACGAGGGATTGGGTGAACGCGAATGGTGGGGGTGTTGAGGCAGGGGGCCCTGTTAGGCTTCATTAGCTAGCATTGAACACACACTCCTGTTACACCCTGGAACAGACCACACTCTACTCCTCTGAAACTAGCTCTCAAGTCAGGGAGTTTATGATTATTTCTGCTGCAGCTGTCTTACTAATGGCAACACAATGTCTCTCCACACAACACCCAGGGGTATCAACCACTCATAGCTTAGCACAGAATGTCATATCAAGCAAAGTTGTCTTCAAGCGGGTTTGCTATCAAACTGATTTATCAAATGTCTTTGTTGTAGTAATTTGCCTCTATAACAAATATGTGCTACGTTTTTTTATACTTTGATACCTGTTTGTTCAACTTAAGTTAATAGTTAAAGCATGTATCTTTTCATGCAACTAGCTAAACACAGCCATGCAGCATTTGCCAGTGGTCTTTAATTGCATATCCTGATCTGCACACGTTTAGTTAAATGTCTGCAAGCATGATCCATATCTTTACTTTGATTATTATTGCACTACCAGACTAACGTTTCTTTTATGATGACTATTTTAATGTTTTTCGTATCCTGTGGCACTACAATTGTCTTATCCAGATCTGCTTAAGAAGGGCCACAACACTGTCATAACATGTATGACTTTTCTTTAATGATCCCTAGCTACAGTGTGGCTCTGCAGGCCTGCTATACCCAGGCATCACCTAACTGGATATCACCATGTCAGGATTACTGTCTGCAAAGTATCCATAGCTTTACATAAGCCTGTGCCTAGTCTATTATATATTACGTTGATCTTATATGCATTGCGAGTTGCATGTCCCTTGAGACGCAGTGTCACTCCTTCGACAATATTACATTATTATAATATTCTGCTAACTTGCTCAGGATCATCTTGTTATTTACTATAATACAAAATTGTGCATGTTAAATCTATTCCCCATTTGCAAAGCTTGAAATGTCGCTAGAGGATTGCCGTTGGGGTACCTCGAGCCCGGATGTACTTATACTATGCACTGCAAAAATAAAAAATTATAAAAAATAAAAAATTATATAAAAAAAAAAAATTATAAGCTTAGAGTCATGACTACAAATGCTCGCAGTTTACGGAATAAGATCCATGAACTTGTGGCAATAATGGCAACTGATAATGTAGATTTAGTCCCTGTTACTGAGACATGGCATAATAAGAAAAATGACTGGGACATAGCAATACCAGGGAACTCTTTATATAGAAAAGACAGGGAAGGCAAGAAAGGGGGAGGGGTGGCCGTGTATGTGAAAGATAGCATCAAATATAACCTAATAAAAGTTAGTGAGGAGAACATAGAGTCCGTTTGGGTTACATTAGAATTTGATAATCACACAGTAACTCGTGTAGGTGTAATTTATAGGCCCTCAGGACAAATTGAAGAGTTAGATAATCTACTAGTTTAACAAAATAGGTAAAATGACAATGAAGGGGGAAGTTATCATCATGGGTGACTTTAATCTTCCTGATGTGAATTGGAAAACAAAAATAGCTGCTTGTGCCAGGAGCACACATATTCTAAACTCCCTACTGGGATTGTCTCTAAAACAAGTTGTTGAGGAGCCAACTCGTAAAGAGGCCATACTAGATTTAGTGTTAACAAATGGAGATTTGGTATCAGATATTACTGTAGGTGAAAGTTTAGGATCCAGTGATCATCAGTCAGTGTGGTTTAATATAAGAACAGTGACTGAGTCACACCACACAAAAACAAAAGTTTTAGACTTTAAAAAAACAGACTTTTCTAAAATTAGAATATGTGTTAAGGAGTCATTATCAGACTGGAGCAATTTAAATGGAGTCCAAGAGAAATGGGATTATTTAAAAGTTGCACTGCTGAAGGCAACAGAAAATTGCATTAGGCTTGTCAGTAAAAGCAAAAAATTCAAGAAACCACTGTGGTACTCCGCAGTTGTGGCCAAAATAGTAAAAAACAAAAAGTTTGCATTTAGTAATTATAAAAAAAAAACAGAGTGAGGAAGACAGAATGATCTACAAGATTAGGCAGAAAGAGGCTAAGCAAGTTATAAGAGCTTCCAAATCACACACAGAAGAGAAAATAGCACAGTCAGTAAAAAAAGAGGACAAAACTTTTTTTAGATACATAAATGAGAAAAGGAAAGTAAAACAAGGATTAGTTAGATTAAAAACAAAAGAAGGAAGGTATGTAGAAGAGGATAAAGGTCTAGTTGACTGCCTCGATGAATATTTTTGTTCAATATTTTCAATATTTTGTTCAATATTTCATGAAAATGAAGGAAAGGGGCCTCAGTTAGGAAAAAGGACAAATGAGTCATTTATTACATGTGAGTTTACAGAGGAAGAGGTTCTATTTCAAATGTCAAAAGTAAAGACAAATAAGTCAATGGGACCTGATGGAATACACCTAACGTTATTAAAAGAGCTTAGTGGTGTACTAGCAAAACCATTAACAGATTTATTTAACCAATCATTATTAACAGGAGTAGTCCTAGAAGATTGGAAGTTAGCAAATGTTGTGACCATTCACAAGAAAGGTAGTAGGGAGGAGTCGGGCAACTATAGGCCAGTAAGCCTTACTTAAGTAGTGGGGAAAGTAATGGAAACCATGTTAAAGGATAGGATTGTTGAACATCTAAAAACACATAGATTTCAAGATCCGAGACAACATGAGTTTACTTCAGGGAGATCATGCCAAACTAATGTTATTGATTTTTTTGATTGGGTAACTAAAATAATAGATCAGGGTGGTGCAGTAGACATTGCTTACCTAGATTTCAGTAAGGCTTTTGACATTGTTGCACACAGAAAGCTTATCAATAAATTGCAATCTTTAAGTTTGGATTCCAATATTGTTGAATGGGTAAAGCAGTGGCTGAGTGACAGGCAACAGAGGGTTGTAGTCAATGGACTATATTCGAAGCTTGGGCTTGTCACCAGTGGGGTACCTCAGGGATCTGTACTTGGACCCATTCTCTTTAATACTTTTATTAGTGATATTGCAGAAGGTCTTGATGGTAAGGTATGTATTTTTGCTGATGATACTAAGATATGTAACAGGGTTGATGTTCCAGGAGGGATAAGCCAAATGACAAATGATTTAGGTAAACTAGAAAAATGGTCAGAATTGTGGCAACTGACATTTAATGTGGATAAGTGCAAGATAATGCATCTTGGACGTAAAAACCCAAGGGCAGAGTACAGAATATTTGATAGAGTCCTAACCTCAACATATGAGGAAAGGGATTTAGGGGTGATTATTTCTGATGACTTAAAGGTAGGCAGACAATGTAATAGAGCAGCAGGAAATGCTAGCAGAATGCTTGGTTGTATAGGGAGAGGTATTAGCAGTAGAAAGAGGGAAGTGCTCATGCCATTGTACAGAACACTGGTGAGACCTCACTTGGAGTATTGTACGCAGTACGGGAGACCGTATCTTCAGAAGGATATTGATACTTTAGAGAGAGTTCAAAGAAGGGCTACTTAACTGGTTCATGGATTGCAGGATAAAACTTACCAGGAAAGGTTAAAGGATCTTAACATGTATAGCTTGGAGGAAAGACGAGACAGGGGGGATATGATAGAAACATTTAAATACATAAAGGGAATCAACACAGTAAAGGAGGAGACTATATTTAAAAGAAGAAAAACTACCACAACAAGAGGACATAGTCTTAAATTAGAGGGACAAAGGTTTAAAAATAATATCAGGAAGTATTACTTTACTGAGAGGGTAGTGGATGCATGGAATAGCCTTCCAGCTGAAGTGGTAGAGGTTAACACAGTAAAGGAGTTTAAGCATGCGTGGGATAGGCATAAGGCTATCCTAACTATAAGATAAGGCTAGGGACTAATGAAAGTATTTAGAAAATTGGGCAGACTAGATGGGCCGAATGGTTCTTATCTGCCGTCACATTCTATGTTTCTATGTTTCAATGCTGTTTAATTTTGGGCACCTGTTGTAAAGAAGGTTGTTGGCACTAGAAAAAATGCAGCGGCAGGCTATAAAATTAATAAAGAGAATGGAAGATTTTAGTTATGGAGAAAGACTAAAACATTTTCTGTTCTGAAAAACATCAGCAGACAAATAGTACCTAAAATTATCATTTGCCTGCATGGAAGCAAGTGAATGATACTTTGCGAATATGCATCCTGCTGGATGCATTTGGCCCCGAACATTATTAAATTCTGTGCTTCGTGAATATTTGTGTAAATTTTTGTGAATCTTCCAATTTTAATCCAGACACAGAATGAATCTGGACGATTGCTGCAGATACACTCAAGCCGACCAAATTTATTTCTTTGCACCACATTTTATCCAACTGGACAAAATCCAGTGAATTACTTCAGTCGTTTTTGCAAAGTTCACAGTTTGGTCATCATTTTTAAGTGGTAGTAAGTAAGTGGTAGCTAATGTGTTAATGAGTAGTACTGGGGATGGAAAACTGTCGTAAATCAGCCAATAAGTAGACATTATGGGATCCAGTATCTAATAATGGGAGCGGTTATCCACTACTTAGCGCTCCAAGCAAATGTCTGATTCACCTAACAGATTTAATGCTGCAGATGAAAAGGCTAATGCACAGTGTTAATGCTGCAAGTTTAGGTTAATGAATCATAGTGTGGGTTAGTGCTGCTGTATGTTCATAAGAGAGTGTGTGTATCTATGTGTCTATCTGAGAGTACAGATCTTTGTCTGCGGCACAGGCACATACGAGTGTCTGGTAATATGCATTTGTATGTTGGTGTCTGGGTTGAAGAAAATG